GGCGTTTAACAGAATCTTATCGCTGTCTGATGACAAATTCTGAGGCCTATAGAGAACTGTTAAGAGGCAAGCATCACTCGTCTTCTGTGAACCAACATCTCGACTTGCTAGGTGCAGTTGGCAAACTACCGCGTCTGGAATAACAAGCGAATTTTCTGTAAAGGCCTCACATTTCAAATAAACTCGAGAGTAGTGAGCAACACGTCCACCGCGAGATGGACGATCATTTCGAATGACTGACATCACGCTGAGTTCGATCTCTGGATCAATTATGTCGTTTGACAGCCAAGTTTCAGTAAGTACTATGAGGTCCCAAGTTGTTGTTTCATGTCGATAGCGCAGTTCCAAGAGCTAAGAATACAACCCCTGTTTTGTTGTAGCAGCATTTTATTTCTTGACGCATCAAGAGCTCGGTTCGCTGTGGGTGACCGGCATTATTTGGGCCGGTTTGCTGAAGATTTTAGAAACGGTTGTTTGCACGGTTGGCTGATCTGAGATAGGTTCAACTGAGACTGTCTCATCTGTATCTGTCTGTATTAATTGAAGGAATGGTCTAAACCGTACTTCTGGTGGCCCTAGTTTCCTGTTGTCATGCCATGCTTAGACTGGCACTGATACCATTTCGGGCACAGCCAAGGTAACTTTAAAAATTTTGTGGCCCGCTGCCTTGGTATTTTGTGGAGACAATTAGATGGGTGACATCAAAAGCCACGACAATTTGCATGTCGTAGAGCTCTGCGATGCACCTCCATTCTTCGATGTCTTCCTTCTCTCGTTCACTGCTATCGTCATGCTTCATTTCTGGCATACCATGAACCACTACCCCTTCATCTCATTTTGATGTGACGAACTAGGGTTGGATTTCCGCTTCTGTCTTTCTGCCCATGTCCTGTTAAGAAAAATGCGGGCAATGACAGAAGAGTTCACTAGAATGTGGCTTGCTAAGAGAACATCTTCCAGGTCGCATGTGTTGTTAAACGTTACTCGCAGTAACTGATGTTCCCCTAGGTGTGACGATGAATTTCGTGAAAGGCGTGTATGACTAGTTGGGAGAACTTTCAGTCCGAGGTCGGGGATTAGAGCTACGTAATGCACTAATCTGCAACTTGAATTCTGAGATTTTCCCTCCCAATACCGCGATCAGTTCCTTTTGTTCTGCCGATGTAACGTCCAACATCTTACACCTTATCATATGTGTTTGAACAATGTTAAGTATCTTATTATCTGAACATAAGTCACAGAACGATAACCTATCTGTCCATGCGCTGTTAGCTCCGTTACGTGTAATGTTCACATTTGTTGCGTCGTAGGAATTGGCACAGAACGAACACGTGATTTTCGAGAGGACCTCAGTTCTCCGCTTGTCTGAGCTACGTTTGACTGGTTTGTTGCTCACTGGATTCCCGGTTGACAAAATTCTCCCGTCCATGGATCACTGGCCGGAACGCACTTTTAGCTTACGCTGGTCACGCCGTTTGGGCTGCCTGTTGTCTGCTCCGGCTAGTAGGTTTGGTGGTGGTGCGTTACTAGGCGCACGAGTAGCCAAAATCACACAGGTTTGTGCAGTGAAATGCACGTAAATGGTGGTGACGTGAGATGACTAAATATACCTGTACCTTTGGTATACAGTGGTGCACATTACTAAGTTATATATTGTCTGACAGTCTTAAGGAAGCTCTGTCGAATGGCATTCCAAGGATACTGATGAAATTCAAGTAAACAGTTACAACTAACCTAACCGACGGTTTGTCAAAGCGCACTAGAATCAATTTGGCTAACTGACGACCCGTTGGGTCTGTATACAAAAAGTTTGCATCTCTTGTAATTGTAAAGGCCTGACGAAGAATTACCGAAAACATATGTTCGCTCACACAGAATTTTGATCAATCAATGGGTTTTTTTAATTCAATTCTGCTCATGATGGCTTTGTTGAATAGACTTCCGAAGACTTCGTTTGTGGTGTACCAGTGTGTCGTTGGACTTACTTCAGAAAAATAGACCCCGTTGGATAGAGCTCGATGATCCGAATCGATTGAGCGTAATTCCGAAACGGTGGCACAAGAAGGTGAGGGGATAAGTCCACGATTAGCACGTACACGCTGACAAGGTCACTCGTCATCACGCACCATCTGCTCTATGGCTGCTATGACAAAGTTGAATGGACGAAACTGTGGTCTTTAAACATACCCGTGATGCAAAGTGTATGCTCTTGGTCAATGTTGTGCGGGTGAGGGCTACTCAGAATTCCGCCACCACTTTTAAGTGGCTTCAGCTTTCATTAGCTTATGAGTATCCCAGTTGTGCTTTTAAACATATTTGTCTGATGTGTGTTACCGAAAAGAGATCTCTTTGCAACCGTGTTTTATTACAAATATCGTCTAGAAGAAAACACTAAAACAGTCTTTGGGCAGTAAGATATAAATCCTGTGGGAAGAGGAATTCTAGGTTGTATTACAATTCGAGTTCACCCATTTTATAAGCGCTAGATTCGTAGGCGGTCTTTACCGATTGAACTGAGACGTTGCATTTCACGGATAAGGAGGGGTGAAAGAAGGGATTACGAGGAAATTGGATGTATCGGCTGATAGCAATCGCTGTCTACGAGGTGACCTCATCCTGGCGTTCCAGATTTTGAAAAACCCCTGTTACGCTTGCCGAGAACTCCTGGAGCTTAATTGCAACACAGAATTGAGGGGGCATAAGTTAAAACTTAACACCAAATACAGTCAGCTGGAGTGTCGTTGGAATTACTTTTCCCTTCGAGTTTGTCAATAGTGGAACATTCTTTCGACTTTTATCATTTCAGCGCCCACACTACCCATATTAAAAAAATGACAAGTAGATGCTATACATCACTTGATCTGGTTTCTATTCATTGAGTGACGACAAGGCGCAGACAGACATTGTGCTCACCAACCCCTCGAAATCGGGTTAGACGGATATACCTATGTGTTAACGTGGATTATATACTGAGTCCACCGATGTGTTTTTTCCTTTTGTGTAACTTAAATGAACTAACGTTAGTCCAAAAAACCATCCCGCGGGACTTGTCATACCTTGGCTTTTTTATCCGTATTATACCATTGTTCCATTGTCCATTGTTGATAACTGTTTTATTGTGTGATCTTATACAAATATTCATCCTTTTTGCTTTCGATGCCTGTTTCAATCCTTGGTTAATGCATACCAGTGTTGGTAAGGATAGTGAAAGTAGTTCGGCAAATGGGATCCTTGTGAGTTTTGTTAAAGTACTTTACGAGCTGATCCCGGTTGCGCAAGAAAGGCGGAAAAAATAGGTTGCAAAACCAGCCAAAACTTAGACCTGTTGTGAATAGATAGTAGCCGTTTCGACCTTATCATCCAGGCTTAAATCTCAATGCTTTCTTGGCTATCTATGTAGAACAGAAGATATGTCTGTCACAGAATTACTGTTGCTGATCTCGAGATTCCGCAAGGAGGAGGAGCGAATAAGTGAATGATCTTCCAACATCTTCTTTGTATACTGCAACTGAACACCGCAGGAGTATTCAGTAAACAAAACGTAATCCATGCAATAATTTTACATAGGCGTAGTGAATTCCCAAGGACCCCAGAAAACACAGCCACGGTACTTCACTGAAAGACCACCCTTTAAAGCTGCCCACATACTGTAGCAGATTTACGTACTGCCGGTTACCTTTCCCCGTTCGTGTTTCCCAATCGTGAAACGCTCTTCCGATTTCTGTTAGTTCCATTCTGAGGTAACTGGAATTCAAAAATGCAACTTGACGCTGCATTAGCACACTTTAAGTACACGACTTATTCCAAGTTATTGATCTACAACATAACGTAACCAAACGCATGAACATGCGAAATTTCCCTAGTGTCTGCCGATACCTGTTATATTTCGGATATATATTTAACTAGTCTCTTCACCTAAGTGACCTGTTAAGTGTTTGTTTCTAGCCGTACGAAATCTAACGAGATCTATGCGCGTCGTCTCAACTGCCGTCCTTATGGGCTTTGAAAAACCAACGCATATTGTTTGGCTGACACGATGAACAATGAGCCTATCTCAACGCATTTCTGTCGTCGTAGAGTGAACTCATTTTGAGATAGTCTGTATCAAACCAATGCTCGACACTTCTCTTCACCAGTCATCTGTAACAGCATCATGTCCCATGACACTGAGCAATGCTCAAAATCCTGGTCTACCGAAGTTAGGCCATAACTAGTGCGTTAGATATTACTGGGCTTCTAGGCAATTATCGTCCTTGCTATGAAAACATTCGTAAGGGGCGACCTACCTCTTGTGATGTACTTGGGACCGACTTCTAAGTCAGAGTTTCAGAGATATTTGTAACCAACCGATTGGTGTGGATCACTGGCTTAGTGACCAAGACGAAAGTCCTAGACCACTGTGTTGGGTTGCCTTCTCAGCTCAAGCTCTATACCTGGCCGGTCCAAATAAGGACAAAAGTGGTTGGCCGCGGTGTGCAGTATTGGGAGAGAGCAGCCCCGAAACTCCCCAACCGGTAGGTTTATTTAATTTGCGAAGTTGCGTTTTTGACACGAAGTTTTTGTTCCAAAGGCGAGTCTGTTTTTAACAAAATAAACCAGCCGGTTGTTCACAAATCCCTCTAAAGTTAGTACTACCTACCTATTATGTCCTGGTAGGACTTCGGTCCACATAAACTATCTGACTGCGTTGAAGTCAGCCCCACTTATTATTGATCGGAATTACTACAATCCGCTTCAAACTTATCAGTCACATAACATACAGTTTTACTGCTAAGCTAAATTACAAGCAATTTTCTCATCAAGTTTACTTGCATACCCTTGTTTACCTATTCCTGCTGCTTGAGCATCACCATTACTTTGCTTTCCGCTCAAATTTACTTGGCAAATGTGAGTATAGGTTACAACCACTATTATGCTGTCTCAAAGCACGTGTACACTTGCTTCTACTTACAGCCCAGACTTCTGATTGCGTACATTTGATTTTCAGAATATTTTTGTATGTTGATCATAATTTTCTACTTCGAAGAGGCATTGTTGCGGTCATGTTTCCTAGCAGGCTTGTCCTCTTTGGAAATGTTTGTGCAAATTATTCAACGGTAAGCAAACAATAAGAGTGTGCACATGATTATAAAAGTGAATGGGACTGGTGTGATAATGTTCGAGGTATTACAGAAATTTCCTTCGCAGTAGCAAACCGTCCGTCGCATGCCAGCTCCACCAGCCGTTTGGAAACATCCGACGCCCATCGCCTCTGGAATTACAGCGCATACTCGGGAGACTACCACAGCCGCTAACATTGCTTTTCCTACCTGTGGGCGCACTCGGAAACTTTTGGTGACAATTTTGGCACACCCGTTGTAATTAACGTTAGGACATACACCATAGTCTTTGGAGTCGATCAGCGCTGTCATTTTTGTTCGGTCCACATGTTCGGAACACAACTTGGCGGTTTGTACTGCGGTCAGACCGTCCACAGTGTTGATATCGTTGCTTGACTGCTTTGAGAGGCCTCCAATAACTGGTTTACCGTCGAGCCATGCTAGCCCTGAACTGGGCCCAGGGCGCACTCCGGTCTCAACACTTGCATAGTTATTGCATACGAAGCATCTCAGTGGTACTTTTTGTGTAGGTTTGGGAGTCTCCGGTGTCCTTTTTGCTTGTCGCGTACTATATAGTCCGAGGCCGGAGAGCAGTGACAACATGAAAACAGTCGTTACTGTGCGACAGGTTATAGAATAATATGCGTCCCACGCTGAAGTTGCTCGAGTATTCTGGAGGCCGCGCGCCCCCTGAAATGTGGATCAGCAGGAACTCTGATAAGTGATGTGAGCCGTTTTCATTACTGGGAAAACAATATTACTAGCTACCATATATACATATGATATGCCGTTTTTATTCAGTGATACTAAATTGTTTGGTGGATGAATGCCATTTTTCTCATGCGCTGTAATACAGTGGTTTAACACGAGAACCTATTTTCAGGTTAGCTGTCCAATGACTATGCTCTGAACTAAGATTCTAAACCTGCATCTATTATTTCGGCTGATACAGTGATATGCAACCCTGTTGATTCAGTGGCTGGCAGCCATATCTGTCATTGTTGCGTGCTGAGTACAATCAACTATTGCTAAACCTGTATTAAGCAAATAAGTTTTCGAAACTTAAAAATGCAAGTTGTGTCGTCGATTCAAGATTTATACTGTTGCTGACTGTCATGTTATGACTGTCTAGACAATACATTTTTCTGGTAACCTGAGCTGAAACGGTGTGATCCACTTAGCTGCCGAGTCAAACTCACCTCGTCAAGGTCGTCGCTTGCTGGTACATTTTCTTCGTTCTTGAATCTGGATATTATCGCATAATTACCCGAGTACACTCATTCGATCAGGCTTGGTCTGGCCTACACAATGCGCTGACTTTCTAGTCTGTACTCATAACGGATCGTCGTCTACCGCTGATTGCCAATTTCTGCAGCATTTCGGCGTAAACAGAAGTGGACAAAGATTCGTAGAATCGTTGGAAGTACATTATGAGGCCCATTTATCAAAACCGATCCCAGTCAAATCGGTAGCTCTGCAAAGCGGCCACCAGCACTTACATCCTTCCTCCCTGCTTTCGCTGACGACAACGAACCCTTGGCCATTCTCCCAAGTCTAACTTCCGAACGGACTTGCCAAGCCGGTCAATCGTCCTACGCTTTGATTACTAGTGCATAGACGGATTTGGGCATGATTGGATTTGCTTCATCGCAATTAGATTCCAAGCCGCACAGGTAAGCCACTAATCCGGAAAAGCACCAGACGAGCGTTTCTCCTTACTGGGGCTCGTCAGTGGTACGCATCCATTGGCTCCCTACTGAGGAACGAACCCATGACCGCTAGAGGCAGGTGCCAAATAGCCAGCGGCTTATGCCACAGAGATCTAGGGGACGAGAGTTGACCATTACGAATTGAAACGTAACTGTGATATAGCCCGACCCATTCTCCACTGCTGTGCAGGTTATTACGCTTGCAAAGGACAGTGGTTAGCCGTCACGGTCAGGTCTTCCCTTGCCAGCGCCTTGAATCCACGCAGTAATGTTGAATACCAGTAGGGCGTAGATTTTCTGAGTTGCCGTCTGCTCAGAGGCATATGAGAAGACTTTTACGAGGCGATCGACATCCGAGTTACTACAGTGTGCTGTGTTGTACACTCAAATAAGACGGATGGTTTTGCAATTTATTTGAATGTTGATCCAATCGGAGTTATCAAGTCCACCTATAAGTGAGATTTCGATTACTAATTCATAGTGGTCGGCTGTCGTTTCCTATGGCTCAGTGGCATAAGTTGCTGGTTATTTGGCGTTAGCCTCTAACGGTCATGGGTTCGCTCCCCAGTAGGGGACAGATGCATACGTCTTACTCTTTGTCTGGGTGAACGGAACGTGTGCGCGCACAGGGACAAACGGATTAACTCATCGTAGCACGGAACATAGCTGACCTCAAAGCTAACGTGCGCAAAGGACACTTTGAGGTTACCGGCCATCAGAAATGCAACTAACACCTGGTTGGTTGTTATCGATTTATGCATCTCACACGATAAGCATTTTTGTCAACAGTCCACTACCCGTTTGCCTTAACTAAGTATTGCAAACACTGAGCCTTATAGCTAAATTACCAAAAGCTCGTTACCAGCGTCAAAACAAGAAGCACCAGTCTTAGTAAAGGAAAGAAAGAGGAATACAAAGAAAAACTCGCGAAATTCCCTGCCTATAACCAATCTCTAAGCAATATGAAAACTAAAACCTCATGTTCTGTTAGTTCGCCTGCCAATATGCTAAACTTACCCAAGCGTAAAATCACTGTTAACATATAAAGCTCCGATGCCTTCTAGAACTGCGAGACCTGATAATTCAACTGTAGCAAAACTGGGTCCAGCTGCCCTGCCAGTTCATCCTATTAACTTACAAAATATCCAAGACGATCTTACCCAAATTAAAGTCAATATGTTGTCGATCGATAGCTCCCTGTCTGTTTTCCGTGCATTAGAGCCTATAACTGCCTTAATGCAAAAGACCGTGAGTCCCGAAGTACACAATATGCTACCATCAGATCACTTATAGATTCGAGCGCCGCAGAAGCAGTCGGCAGGACGTATGGGACTAACAATGCAGTTGTTTTTAATGTCTCGGATGATATTCCGCCTGCAGCTTAGCAGGATATCCAACTTAAAGCTGGTAACATAGTTGGAACGGAGTGCAGTTGCATAAGACTCAAAAAGAAAGTCCAGGGTCAATCGTGTCCAATCCTGTTCAAATTTCATATTGCCTTAACTGCCAGTGAATTTCTAAATAGACGTGATCAAATGGTTGTCAAAACTACTTTTAAGACTGTGAGAGTAGTTGCTGGTAGAATATCTAGCAAGATTACTTCTGCATGGAGATTCTGATTCTACTGTACGACGCGAGTCGCTAACCTCAAGTGTGGTCGCACCTATAACAGTTGCAAGTCTCGTTCCCAACTGTCAATCTGACACCCCTATAGGTTATCTGTATACATTGTCACTATAAACATTCCACAAACCTAGTGAACCCTCCCGACTCCACCGATTACGCTGTGGGCAGCGAACATCCTAAAACTTTCAACTTCTAAAACAGCATCACATTCGCTACGAACCTTTGAAATCGTATCTAGGGGAGAGTTTCGTAAGGCAGCTACAGAGCAATAACACTGGTTGTCGATTTGAACATAACCACCACAATGCCCTGCGACCTGGTTCTTATGCATGATTACCAACTACAATAGATACGTCGCTTGCAAACTTTTCACTAGCTGGAGCCCTAAATCAGGTATCCAGCACTCCATTCCCTCAAAACGTGGATTTTACTGATCTAACCCCCCAAAAACCCGAGTCGGCTGGTACTCAGAATCACTCTATTTCACACAAACCTGTAACCACTGCTCCAGTTCCAGCGGTTTGGTCAGGTCAAAGACTATCGTCGCATAAAATTGCGAGCTACCCCATACGGCCTAATGAATCATTAGCTTCCATTGTCTTTGCTTTCGATATACCTGACTTAACTGATCTCCATGACATCGTCACAACTTTCGGTAAAGTGGCTAATATGAAATCTCAACTGCTAAACATCATTAGGGTGCCTAAAAGGATACAGGCCTCCCCAGCACCAGTCAGATCTATTTCTGTCGAGCAGCCCAAGTTGGAAACGCTTATTAAAGAGCTAAACGTTATTCGGAAAGTCCAGCACATATCAAACCTTTACTCCACTAGGTTACTTGCTCAACACTATGTTTCCGTCCATCCTAAAATGTCTGAATCCTCCATTCGGTGTAAACCATGTATGCCCACTGGCTCATTTCACGCTAGAAATCCAACTTGTATCCATGATAGACTAAATGAACTGTCTATTTTTGGAGACCTGGGGAGGAAACTCAGTGTCATCCCTCCCCATCAAGCCTACAGCCTTTTTCTGAACTTTCTCAGAATGATCCAAACGTAAATTTGGAAATTAGTCCTACACTATCAACAAATTCCATTCCTGCTCAAAATTACCCCAATCCTTCATCCTTAACTTATAATGACACATCGCCAGATATCTACCCCAACTTATTCAACCAGTTAGCGTGTCTACCTATCCAGACACTATCCACTAAATCGCTTCTTTTCAATGCTCGCTCACTTCGAAATAAGATGCCCACTCTTCGCTCCTTGGTGTCTCTCTTTAAACCTGACTTTATCTTAGTGACAGAGACATGGTTTAGAAGCAAAACGCCACAGTTCTGCTTCCAAATTGACCATTACCACAATTTTCTTGCTTGTCCAACCTCGGCACCTGGAGGTGGTTGCATCATATATGTCTCCGATAACTTTCAAGCATTGCTGTTATGCGCTTCCCTTCAAGATAGTAATATTGACAGCATAATTGTACATGTTGCTCTAGGTAGAACCTCGATGATTTTGTGTTGCATTTACTCCCCTCCGAATCCCAGCGCAGATGACTTACAAATCCTGGAACAATTGATTTGCTACTTAGCAGATGTGCCCGTTCACTGCAAAGTAATAGGAGGAGATTTCTATATGCCTGATATTGTCTGGAGATTGTGCGCCGCACCTACTAAATATTCGACAAGCTTGTCTTCTATACAGATCTATGGATGGGTACATGTCCATTCACCCGCCAGGGGCAATCACATCCTCGCTCTATTTGTTACATTAGACCTATCCAATGTCTCTGCTGTTGTTCTAGACAAATTCCCTGGCAACGATCACAACATGGTCCAACTCTCCTTCGAGAAGCAATTTTCTGATCCCACCCGGACTAAACCTGCAGTCCTCTCTAGACCATACAGTTCCATACACGTGGAGTCGTCATCCGCCCTTCTGAGATCTTTGCAATTGGAAAATTGCTTCCTAACGAATGATCCGCAAGGGGCTGCCGATGACTTCTACAAGAATATAAGGATTTGTCTAGGCATTCTAATAACAATGAAGTATCGGCGTCTTCCCAGTAAAACAAAAGCGGTCCCTACTCCCGAAAATTTTGCACGCAAGCTCATACGGCTACGAAATTGCTATTTGAAAACGAATGACTTCTCCCTATTATTACAACAGCAAGCAGTCATAGCCGAACTTGAAAGACTTCGGGTTATCAGGGGGAATTAATGCTCAAAGATACACGCTCAATCGCCAAAATAAAAACTTTGAACTCACCAAGCTGATGATAAGTAGAAACAAAAGTACGGAAACCCCAAACATCCTGATTCATGGTAACCAAACAACTAGCAATCCAACT